AGCTGTTGTAGACAAGGCTGGTCTCGAACTTCGCCTGCCTCTGTCTCCCAAGTTGCTGGGATTAAAGGTGTGTACCACCACTCAGGAAGTCCCAGTCTTTTTTTTTTTTTTTTAAAGGATTTATTTATTAGTGTATTTTATGTACATGAGAGCTCTGTCTTCTTGCACACTAGAAGAGAGAGCACCTGATCTCATTTACAGATGGTTGCAAGCCACTATGCAGTTGCTGGGAATTGAACTCGGGACCTCTGGAAGAGCAGACAGTGCTCTTAACCTCTGAGCCACCTCTCTAGCCCAAGATCCAGTCTTAAAACACAAAACTTCACTGGGTTGTGGTGGCCCATGCCTTTGATCCCAGCACTCCTGAAGGCAGAGGGAGGTGAATCTCTGTGAGTTCAAGGCCAGCCTGGTCTACATAGTGAGTTCCAGGACAGCCAGAGTGGTCACCCCGCCCCAAAAAAAAAAAAAAAAAAAAAAAAAAAAAAAAAAAAAAAAAGTTATACAGTTCAAATAAATGAGATCAAAAAAATTATTGATAAAACAGGCGTTAGTGACCCAAATCTTTAATCCCAGCACTTGGGAGACAGAGGCAGCCAGATCTCTGTGAGTTAGAGGCTAGCCTGGTCTGGTCTATAGAGCAAGTTCCAGGATAGGCTCCTGAGCTAAACAAGGAAACATTGTCTCGACAAACAAGCAAACAAAACAAAAACAAAGAACTTTGTCTCCCTAATCCCCCCGAAAAAAACTAGCTGAGCATATGTCAGAGAACAGGCCTGTAAACAAGCAAAAATCATCAATGGTTTCTGCTTCCCATTCCTGCCCTGACTTTTCAATGGTGGCCCATGACCTGGAAGTAAAAAATGAATTTACTCTACTAAATTGCTTTTGGTCATGGTATTACAGCAACAGAAGCAAACTAGAAACAGGGTATCTTGTAGCCCATAGTGGCCTCACATTCCCTTTGTATCTGTGGATGTCCTTGAACTTTTTTGAGACAGGGTCTCTTTGTGTAGCTGTCTCTCTTGGAACTAGCTGTGTGGACCAGGCTGGCCTAGAACTCACAGAGATTCTTTTGAATCTGCCTCCTGCTGGGATTAAAGGCTTGTGCCACCACAGCCCTGGGTGCCTGAAACCTTTACTCCCAGCAATCAGGAGGCAGATTCAAAAGACCACCTCTGTGAGTTCCAGGCCAGCTTGGTCTACTTACTGAGTGAGTTCTAGGACTGGCTCCATAGCCACTGGGAAACCCTGACTCGAAAATGCAAGAAAAAAAGTCTCAGCCACCAGACCTGGCTGTCCTCAAAAGATTCCTTTGGATCTTCCACTTCTATTTCACAAATGCTAGGATTAGGGGCTGTGTCACCCTGCCCAGTTTGAGGAGATGAGGATCCAGGCAAAGGCCTCATGCATTCTAGGCAAGCAAGTTACTACATACCTGAGTCTATTTTTTCTCTCTTCATTTTTTTTTTTTTTCTTTTTCTTACGACAGTTTCTTGGTGTAGCCCTAACTGTCCTAGAACTTGCTCTGTACACCAGGTTGGCCTCAAACTCAGAGATCCACCAGTCTCCACCACCTGAATCCATTTCTAGTATCTCACAGGGAAGGACAAAGTTTGATCTGTTATGCTGAATTTAAATTAAAATAGGCTATTTGTTGCAGGAAAGGGCTTGTCAATTGTGCTGTTCTTTCCCCTAGTAACTTTATTTAAATGGATTTGCAGATTTTGTTGTTGAGACAGGGTGTCACTATACAGCACTGGCTGCCTGGAACTCCACGTAGGTCAGAGTGGGCTCGAGATATGCTATACCACGCCTGTTGTCATGGGTGTTGGGAGATCATCGAATCCTATGTTGACTTTTATTTGAAAATCTAAAAGTCCAAATGATTTCAAATCCCTTTGCCAGGCAGAGAAAGGATTCGATTTCTATTTCATTCATGTGCTTCACAATAAAACTTCAAACAGCTGTCATTTTAAAAAGACACTAGCAAAAGACAGCCTATCTGGCCACCAAACCTTTTTAGATAGTTTGGAGCCAGGCGTTAGTTTGCACACGCCTTTAATCCCAGCACTCCGGAGGCAGAGGCAGGTGGATCTCTGTGAGTTCGAGGCCAGGCTGATCTTCAAAGTGAGTTCCAGGGTAGCCTCCAAACCTCTGAGAAACCCTGTCTCGAACCCCCCCCCCAATAAATAAGTAAATAAAAACAAAGAAAGAAAAAAAGAAACTTTGGAAATGGCTCCATTCTCTAAAATTCTGTGCCCTAAACAAACGATTCCGTTCCTTCCCCCCAGATTGATAAAAATCTTAATTCTTTAACTCTGAGAGTCGCCTATAGAGAGTCTCATCCAGTCAGCCGCATTTTCCCGCCCGTGCGACGTGCGGGACTTAGGAACGTCAGTGCCGCAGGGCTTGCAGCGTGGGCCTCCCAAGGGGACGGCGCCGTCACACTCTGCACACCTCGGGCCCCCAACATTTAGATTCCGCGAGGGAGGCAAAGGGGTCCGCGGGCTTTCTGGCAACCTTAAGTCGCAGGACAGAAAAGCGTGCTCTTCCTTCCGGCACTGCAATAGGGTGAACTGGGAAATGGAGACCCAAAAGCGCGCGGGGAGGGGCGAGAGGCGCCAAAAAGAAAGGGAATAGGCCTTTCTCTGGGCGGACGCGCGGTCACGCGGCTTTCTCCCGACGTGGGCGCTTGCCATTGGTCGAGCTGCCGCTGA